GCCTTGTTGTGGGGCCTGGGGGGAGAGTGTCTAGCGTCTCAGGTGACGGTAAGATCTCGAGGAAGGTTGTTACATTTTTAATGACAATTTCTCCCTGCAACCAAATAGGCCTCAACCTTGCCTTCAACCAAGCTTATCAATTAATCAATATATTAAATAATAAATATATTATATAAAATTAAAAAATCTTTTACACAATCATATCAATGTTAAATTCAAATCTAAAATCTCTTTTAAGAGAGAGATGTGACATTGATGTTAGGACAACTAACTGTTGAAAAAAAAAATCATTTACCTATCTATATATTTTAATAAAACATGCTATATTTATGAGGGTAATAATTTCAAGAAAACAATTAAACGTCCGATGCATCAGACGGGAAAGTTTTATCCTTAATGTGGACCTGGTGATTTCATTTCCCTCCAGCGCAAAAAGCCAAAAATATAACCAATTTTCTTCTCTCATTTCATTTGTTACTTATTTACATGTCCCAGGTCCCAAACTAACAACGTTTTGGGATTACCGTTTTGATAATGAGACGCAAAATCTTACCCCAACCACTGTTAATTAAAATCTAATCTTACATTATGAATTTCATTGAATTTGTTTCTCTGTATATAAGAAATAGATTATTTATAATGACACAATACATCTTAATTTGATTTGTACAATATTTTTTACATGGTGAATGAAAATTATTCAAATACATGAAAAGTAGGTTTGTGGGGGAAAAAAATCCAGCCACGGGCAAAAAGCAACTTAGTTCTCATTATTGGATTGAATGGATAATTAAAACCGAAAACATTTTCATACTTTTTAATATGTTTTTATTTATAACAATTATTTTTATGATCGGCATGTAAATAGTAAATATCTGTACTTTACCATGTATCATCACATGTTTTTTTTTTTTTAATTACATGTAAGTATCATCTCATTATTGATTTATTACGTTATAAGAGATTGATCATTCCAGTTAAACCCAACTCCCATTGATTATATTTTATTATCTATATTGTCATATTTTGTCCATCAAAATTAATTTCTTTGCAGGTTGAAAACTTAAAAAGATATTGATATTTGGTTGGCTTTGCACGAACATTTACATGTTGGAATTACATATCCATCTTTAATAGAAATTGGTAATTATATGAAATTAATAAGTAATAATTTGGTATATTTAATCTCGTAAAGTCTGACCGGAAGTCAGGAATTAATTAGGCTTGATTGAATTGATTGAATCCAATTCAAAAAATTTATCTTAATATCAATATCAATTGGAATATTATATTACCATAATTCGTTCCATTATAAGATGAATTTATGAGGATTATAATTTCTCATTTTATAATAGCCCCTCACATTATAAATAATTGAAGAGAATTTATCTCATAATAAATACCTCTTCTTATCATTCGTTTTCTCTCCTTATCTTTTTGTGCACTTTCAAAAAAACTCTTGTAGTCTGACCTCTACATAAGTAGTATAATTGAACACCTTACACCCAAATCTGGTGTGACTCTATCATGAATTTCATTTACACTTCAAATACTTATTTATTCATATTCTTCATTACACTACTTGTTTGAAATTTAAGACACCTTCATTTATTCTTTAAAATATTAAAATATAATGTATATCCATGTGCATGTACCTTGTGATTTTTAAAAATTATCATATTTGACATACCTTATTATATTGTATCTAATACATATAACTTTATGGGTACTTCTAGATTCAAGATTTTGGAAAGGAAAAACAAGGCTCTTTTGAGATAAAGAATGCTCTATGTAAATGAAAATTTTGATTTTGCCAATGAGAAATGTAATTTTGTATTTGTGAATAAAAAAAAGACACAGCTTATAATATCAATGATACCATAAATGCAATAAATATTAGATATATGCGTTTTAGTGATATGAAGTAGTTATAGTGAATGGGGCATGCGTTTTAAGAGATGAGAAAAATTACAGTAGAACTATACATAAACTCATGTTTTATATGGATTTTAAGATGTATTATTCACGTAGATAATATAGCGAAATATCCTTTAAATCACATGCCCAAATGATCGAACAAACAAGAAACTGATGATGATGTGATAAATTAGTGTAGTTATAATGTTAGGCGCGTGAATTGGCTTCAATATATAGAAACTACCCTATTAGACCAAGAAATGGAAAGGAAAGGACCGTCTGATCGAAAGAGGAATTAATGTGATTCCTGTATTGCCTTCTTGTCTTTTAGCGAGACTAATTTCACTGTTGTGTGTTTAAATATCACAATAGAAACAGAGCACTCTGATAGTCTGAATCCACTTAACAAATACAAGAATTAGATGAGTCTAAGAAAATATTGCACAGCAAATTTCATTGGAGAAGAAACGGTGCAATAATCAAATTTAATTCAACGGAAGGTTTTCAGCTGAAATATAAGCACGTACATTATTTCATGTTTATTAAAATTTGTGAATTCTAAGAAAACGTGTTTTTAACCTATGCCCTGTTTCATATAATGGAATTTTTTTTTAATGAAAATGGATATGAATATTAAAATAAAGTTTAAAAATATATCTGATATCTTCATGGAATATTGGTACACTTTTTTTAATAAAAAATACACATTCATAATATTAAAAGACTAAAATACCCTCACTCAAACAAAAAAAAAATCCCTAGACTAACATAGCCACCCTTCTCTAAAATGCAACAAGAACCATTGCTAGAAAAATCGAAGGCAATCCAATCCAAATTCAACAATCAAGAAATCAAAGGCAACCTGATCCACAATAGCCAAAGTTCGATCCCTATTTCCACAGTCAACCATCTAAAGAACAAGCCACAATGACCTTGTCGATCGTTGCCAACATGAATTCTAAAGTGAAGGGAAAGGGAAGGCTTTTAGGGAAAGGGATGTTTGCGAAAGTCTATCATAGTAAGCGAACGCTGACGGGCAAGAGTGTTGCGATCAAAGTGACGAGGAAGAAAAAAGTGTAGCAGCAAGGGATGATAGAGCAAATCAAGCGGGAGATTTTCATCATGTGCTTGGTTTGACACCCCAGTGTTGTTGAATTCAAAGAAGTCATCCACTAAAACAAGTTGACCTTCTTTGTCATGGACATGAAGTGTGTTCATGGTGGTGAGCTCCTCCACAAGGTCGCCAGAGGTAAAGTTAGAGAGGATCAAGCTTGAAAGTACTTCCAATAATTGATTGACATCATCAATTTTTGTCATATCAAATAACAAGATGGAGGCCATTGTCGCCGATGATAAGGAGGTTGTTGTCATTCACAGACTTAATTCAAGGGAAGGTTGAGTGGGACAAGAAAGGAAAAGGTAAAAAATGAAAAAGGATATATGAAATTGTTTTTTTGTTTTTTGTTTAATGAAACCCAATTTCATCAATTTTGATGGAAATAGTTTCCATGTGAAAGTCTAATTCAACTTAATTTTAAATAACCAAATATTAAAAGTTTTTAATTCTATTTTCATATTTATTTTCACCCTTTCAATTCCATCAATTAAAGGTCTTATTGACATTTCTTTTGAAAATTTCACATTTAAAATGCTTTGGTTTTATTTAAAGTGAAGTAACCTCCCTTAAATGAATATTTCTTTTTCAAAAATGTTTAAAACTACATGATTTCACCTATATTATAATATAATATAATTTTTTAACTATTATAAGAAAATTATAAAATAATTTGGCTAAAACAGAGGCAAGTAAGTAATATTTTTCGATGCTCAATTTTGTTGGGAAGGATACTGTAGTCCAAGTCTTGGATTGCATTCATCGGAGAAAAAGCATTGCAATTGAGTTCAAGAGCTGAATCTAAATTTAAGGGTTATTTTTATCTTTTAATTTTATTTGAAAGATTACCAGGCACTTTAAACTTAATTACAAACCAATTTTATCCCTTAAGATTAAAGATCTCCTCTCTCATCGCCTGATGTTAACAAGGCCTAAAGTTCGTTTATCATCAGTGGATCATAACATTTTTTAATATTGTTTATTATTTTTCATTGGACTAAGGATCATTTTTGCCCAACAATTTTTGCTTGAAGGGTTAGTAGGCACCCTTAACTAAAATATTTTATAATAAAAAATATTAAAAAAAGTATAATGTATGCTTATTAACATGGTGACAAAACAACAAAATAATAGATGAGAAAATTTTTAATATTAAGGGACAAAATTGACTTAAAAATGCCTTACAATTCTTTAGGTAAAGTTAGAAGGTAAAAGAGTCCTTTAACAGAAACAAAAAAAAACCTTTTCAAGAATGTATGGGGCTTGTATACTGTTTTTAGTTTAATCTTGAGAAGAATTTCCGTTATAGATTATTGTATCAACATAATTTAAAATAATAACCGCATAATAATCCTAAAAATATGTCATAAGATTGAAGGTATTTTGACAACTGAAAATTAAATGAATGTTATTTTGTTTCTTTTTCATTAAATCATGTTTTATTTTTATTCTTCAGCGTTACCATGTAGTTTTAAAATTATATAGTCTTTATTTTAAATTATTTTAATAAATAGTTTTTAATTGAAATTCTCTTTAATTTCCACCCTATCCTTGCACCTTGAAATGAAATGTTAAACTTATTGTTTTATTATAAGAAGGTGGGTGGATATTTAAAAATTAAATAACGATCAATTTTATTTTTTAACATTAAAAATTCTTTTTTCTATTAAAGTTTTACTATTTTTTACAATTAGTTATTATATTTTTAATTTTAATATTTTTATTATAAAATATTTGAGTTTAAAGTATATACTCTTAAAAATAAAATTAAAAAATATTTTTAATTTAATATTTTATTATAAGATAAATTTTAAAAAAAATGCAATGTGAGACATGGAACCAGAGAATTCTTAACTTTGAAAAACAGAAATAGAATTTCTACACTATTTTGTAATAGCAGAGTGTCTGTTGACTTTTCGACTAAAATAGAACAACGAAAATAACCCTAATTCAAATTTAAAAAAAGAATATGGACGACGCAAAATATCTTTAAGCGCCTCTTGTTACCTCGCATTCCCCGCCGGAAACCACGATGGGCAGGCCAGCCTCCACTATCGAAATCCCCGATAGACGGCACCGTTCAAGCCAAGGAAACGGCCACTACACCCCTGATTCCGATGTCTCTGATGATTTCCGTAGCCGTCGTAGCCCTAGTTATGAATCATACGGTCGCTACGCTGACAACAATCGTCACCGCCGTCGATCCGAATCACCTGAATGCGGAAGCCCTAGATACGAATATGGAACTCTAAACGGCGATACTTTACCAAAGCAATTCGGCCGTGGAGATCGCCGCCGAAACGACGCGTTTCTCCACCGTGATCGTCAGGATGGTGGGCGCTCTGATTCAGATTCAGACGAGGAGCTCAAGGGTTTGAGCTACGAGGAGTTCAGAAGGTTAAAGAGGCAGAAGATGAGGAAGATGTTGAAACGCTGTATTTGGAATGTTACGCCGAGTCCCCCAAGACGTGAGAGCGATGATTTGGAGGAGAAAGTGGAAGAAATTTCTGACGAAGATGGACATGATGATGTAGGCAAGACTGCTTCGGCTGATAGGGAAGCCAAATCAAAAGGGGAATCTGAATATTCGTCTGAGAAATGTGCCAGTAGTGAATCGGAGAGTTCGTTCGAGTCTGAGTCTGATTCTGAATCAGATGTTTCACGCTCAAGGCGAAAGATGAGAAGGAATTCCGGTTCCAAGCGCAGGAGTAGGAAGTCCTACAGTGACACTGAATCTGAGGAAAGTGGAAGTGAATCTGAAGACGTTCGTGGGCGGACAAAGAAATCGGTTAAGAGTAGGAGAACCAGAAGTAGACGGAAAAGGAGTAGTAGGAAGAGGAAGAGAAGGTATAGCGATTCGGACCTCAGCGAAGACAGTGAAAGCGAGGAGTCTGATGCCAGTCGATCTACAGATGATCATGAGAGGTCAAGGAAGAAGCATAAGCGATCTTCCAGGTCTCGTTCAAAAGGTGGCCGGAGAAAGAGACGGTCTCATGCGAAAAGTGACGATTCTTACTCTGAAGAGAGTTCGGATGCCAAAGCTGCCGATGCGCGGAGCAAGGTGGACGAGGTGAAGAAGCCAGAAATTAATGCTGAGGCGCTGAAGCTGAAAGAATTGTTTGAGTCACAGAAGAAACCCGCATTGGACGATGAACCCATTGTTGGACCACAACCTTTGCCGAGAGCTGAGGGTCACATTAGTTATGGTGGGGCGCTCAGGCCTGGTGAAGGTGACGCCATTGCACAGTATGTCCAGCAGGGGAAGCGTATCCCTCGTAGAGGTGAAGTGGGTCTTTCTGCGGAGGAAATTCAAAAGTTTGAAAGCCTTGGATATGTGATGAGTGGGAGTAGGCATCAAAGGATGAATGCTATTCGTATTCGGAAAGAAAACCAGGTTTATAGTGCAGAGGACAAGCGTGCTTTGGCTATGTTTAACTACGAAGAAAAGGCGAAGAGGGAACATAAGGTTATGGCTGATCTGCAGCGGCTTGTGCAACGCCATATTGGGCAGGATGTTGGTCCAACTCATGATCCTTTTGCCGCAAAACCCTTGGATGGCACTGACGCCTAATTTCACGTATGCTCTACCTGTTTTCTTATTCTTTTATTTGAAGTTCCTTTCAGTGCATTTTATTCAGCTGAGTATGGGTTAGACGATAAAATTTGTGGGATATGGAGTTTTGGAGTATGGAACAGTAAGCTGGTCTGGGATTGCTAACTTCATTTGAGCTTATTTTCTGTGAGAGGGAGCCTATTTACCCACTGAAAACAAATTGACCAGTATCGTGCAATGTGCACTTACCAGCTGAATAAAACTGGCTGTTGAAGAATTATTAGAATTGGTTTTTAGAATTTATATAGGCATGCTTGAATTTAAACCAATGGTGCACCTGCTTTTGAATGTTGCTGTTGAATTTTCTGTCTTGATTGTGTAATCATGGATAATTATCTGCTCTTTGGACCACTCATTGAGCTGGTTCACATACTCCAGCATAACGTAACAAAGCATTTAATGACACTATTTATTTATGATTTCTTCTGTTAATAGTTTTTAAATTGTATTTTAACTGCTGAACAATTTGAAAAAATAGAACTTTTTATCCACATAATCACATGATGGGGTGGTCTCATATGTCCAGTATGCATTTCGTTTTCTTTTCTTTTACCGTGTCTAGACTCTAGATCCCTTCTTTTTAATTTTTTTTTTTTCTAAACTCATTATGGGCTGAGTATAATCGATATGGGGAGGTTGAAATACGGGAATGAGTGGGTCCTGAAGCACAAGTAGGTTGTTTGTCAAACTTAAAAGACCAAATGATTACAAAGGATTTTATTAGTTTGACTGTATAGTGTTTTGCTGCCCCTTTAGCGATTAACCATTTCTTGATCGATCCATTTTCAAGTCAAAACGAGGTTAAAGAAAATGAATACAACGTTACTTTTTTAAGTCTGATCAGTATTTTGTTTGGATCCAAAAGTCTGTCTATTTCTCTCACCCTTCCCCCAAAACATCTCTCTGTTTTATTTAACACGAATTAATAAAAGGATTTGCCAATAGTTGCCGAGCTATAATGTCATCAAGCTTGTTCAGAACTATAGTTTACATAACACTGCTCATCGATTCTAGCTTCTTTACGCTGTGTACAGCAGCGCTTACACACAACTCTGCTCTTAGTGGGTAATTACGATTTCGGAGAAGGAACATTAATTCTCATTTTTAAGATTGGAAGAAGGAGTTATTATTCTTGTCCAAGTAGCATGCAGGAGTGAGAAGTGAGAAAAAAATTGTTTCTTACCCCATCTGGTTGGAGGAGAATGGAGAAGGAGATTTTAACGAGTTCGATTTGAAAGAAATGAATAAGTGGAGTTATAAAATTTTAATAAAAAGAAGATATAAGATAAAAGAGTAATGAAAATTAATTAAAAGCTTTGAACCCCACTTTTCTAATTTTTTTTTAGATCGAACTCGTAAAATTCTCCTGAGTCTTCTCCCCCTTCTCCTCCAAAAAAGGTCACTTCAGAGACGTACAAGTCGTGTTCATGCATAGAGCTTTGTGAATTTTTCTTGCTTAAGACTTTCGCTGTTTTTTCTTTTTGGAGAGTTTGATAGTATTATGATTATGATTATTTATAAATTATAAATTTTATGTGTATGATACATTTTAATTTTTGGCCTCAGATCCAATTATTTTTACCTCATGACAGCTTCAATGTTAAAAGATCAGCCAATTAAATCAGCACAAGAGTTGAAGCCCTAGTTATTTAACTGGGACCCCTTCGCTTCACTACTGCAGAACCTGCCATGCAAACTCAAGGCTTTGATACTTTCCATTATAGGAAGAACCCTTCTGCAGTGTCACCAAATAGGGAAGATACTTCTTTTCCTTTCTCTTGCTCTCTCGGGAAATAGAAGAGGGCTATCTTAAGTTCGAGATTTGACCATTAGTGTTACTTCTACCTGTACTGAACCAATTACTGGAAGTGATACAAAAGGCTTCCCTCCATGGTCAGTCGCTCAAACAAGTTTCCGAAACTTGTAAATTTTTTAAATGACACTCATCAAAAGATTCATCAAAGTTGTGGTTGTGTGAAACCAATTTTGTACAGTGAAGTCAATCAAATACTTGGGATATTACGGCCAGGAAAACGAATAAATCTATCCTACAAACGGAAAAGTTGTATGATGATAATAACTTAATAAACTAAGTTTAATAACCAATAAGCTGATGGAAGCAGAGGCAACTGTTCTGTTGGCAGAAGCCCCTGTTGAATGCCTGAACTCAATTCATTTTCACCATACTGACGATAGTTCGATGTAATTTCAAGCACACTATCAAAATCCGTGATTTTTCAAGCGTTTATAGTGGTTTGAAAAGTTTTAGAATCATTCAGAAGCTTCTTGATTAATTTTGAGTGCAAGGCAATTCTAGAAGAATCTAGACATTTCTAGCATAAAAATCTCAAAATATAATCCAGAGAATTCTTTATAAATATATAAATATTTGTCAAAACATATTTTGTAGAGAATTTTAGAAAATCAATGTTAATTGTGGGATTGAATTAATCTCTATTATCTATTAAGGGGGGTGGTAGGGCTGTGCAAAAGTCTTTCAGTCCTGTATGGTCCAGTCCAACTCAAGATAGTCTCAGTCTTGTTCGGTCTATATAGATACTGGTCCTTCAGGACCAAAATGACTAAAAAGATCAGACTATTTTTTCGGGTTGGACTGAACAAGAGACCAGGCATCCGGACCACTTGGTCCAATCCAGTCCTATTAATTTTTTTATTATAATTATAATTAATTTATTTTAGACAAATGTTTGAAGTGTAATTAATGCTAAGGAGATAATTGTATGAAGATTTGTTAAGTTTGTTTCTAAATTATTGTTGTAATATAGTATTGTTGAATTTTGTTAAGTACTGTTTTTGTTAAAATTATAAATTTAAATTATTTGGACTATAATAAAAATATTTTTTCTTATTATTAAAAATTATTATGGATTTATTATTATTATAAGTGTTTTTACTATTTTAATTGAGTTTATTATGTTGGAATGGATTATTGCTTCTCATAGAATAAAAAGAGAAAAAAAAAAGTTAAGCGAGTACTGGATTGACAGGACTAGTCTCCTAATCCTATGGACCAAGTTCAGTCCTGTTAATTTTCGGGTTATCACTGGACAAGATTAGACTACGGGTTGCCTAACCTAATTCTTTTCATGAAAGAGATTAGATTTCGGGTTAAGGTGAAGTTTGGTGCCGTCCTGTCTTTTGTGCAGCCCTAGGAGATGGGAACATTTTAGATATAAGAGAAGGTTTATAAATACCTCCACCTTCCCCATTTATAAGCATTCTTGAGTTTTCAAAGTAATACAAGTTTTATATTCTCCAGTTGCTCTTAAAATTTCCATCATCTTCTTATTTATAAATTAGACTTATTTAGCATTTTTTGGTGAAGAGTATCTAAATACTGTGTGAGTTGAAAGACTAGTCCCATAGTAACATGTTTAACTTCCCAATTCAAAATAAAAAATAAAAATCTCTAATAAGCTAAGTTAGGGCCTCTTTGACTAGTGTGGTAGATTGAAGTGTGAAGGTGGAGACGTTTGGTTGGTTAGTTTTTACGGTTTAGCAGATGAATCTCAGGTGGGAAACGGGAGCAGGGGACCTCAAGACTTTTGATAAGACGATGATTCTGGCCTTATGTTATCAATGTGGGATTATCAGTGCTATCCGGAGAAGAAGAAGAATATCAGTCCACAATGAATTTGAATCCTCTCTTCATTCATAGATAATCAATAAGTATTTTTATGCACCTATTTTAAATCATGAGATTTGCTATAATTCTAGTGAGTTTTTAGGATTTAACTCACTTAACCAAATACATTTTGAACTTTTTTTCAAACCTCCTTCAAATTTTGAGTTATGTATATATAAGGCCTTTAATATATAATTTTAGTGAAATAACGGACGAATTAATATTATGATAGTTATTTGCTGTAAATATAAAAATTTAGGGGATTTGTTACAAAGTAGAAAAGGTCATAAAGGCATTTACACACAACCCAAATTTCAGATGTTTATGTATAATTTAGCTTTTTTAAAAATTATTATCCACTTACTGTAATTAAAAATGATTAATTTATTATCTTTCAAATAATTTTTTTATATCGCTCGTATCCTATTAAGAAGACTGAGTTGAGAAATTATGTTCATAATTTGAATCGATGAATGAAACTATAAAAGAAATGAATGAATCAATTTTTACAAAAAAAAAAAAGATGAAATTACTGAATGACTAAAATGAAAAGTTCCACTTAAAAGAACGAAAATAAAAAAGTTAGTCCAACAAAACTAATTATAATCTCCTCAGTTGCTTCATAACAGGAAAGAAGATAATTTGAAAATAATAACCAAGAGATGATGCAGACAAAACAGTGAAAGGTAACTTAAAATTCACCGGCTATGTCTTTGAGAGTGGAATAACCGAAATGCACAGACAAGCACAGTTGCAGTTGGACCTGAAATCTCGGAGTCGGAGACAGCATCAGTGAAAATGTGGAAATACCAACAAACCGACTTAACTACATTTATTTAGGCTCTACCTTTATGATTTTGATAGTTACAGTGTGGGGGAAAACAGCTATAAGAGCAAGGCCGTCTTCATCCCGTGACACTTTAGTATTTTCTCTTTTCCCATTGCCTTTAGGTTAAATTCTCTCTCGGACCTCGATCATGTTTACCTGGGGCTGTTGCATGAATTGACTCGTCTAAAGACTAACCACTAACTAAACACGGTTACTTTTACCTTTCCCTTTTCTCAAGAACTTGTTTTAGTTATTTGGTACGTCCGAAATCAATGGGGAGGCCTCTTGCGAAGGTAATAATCAAATGCGGAAAAGAGCGGATATGGTACTGATGCCACTGGGAATAAATGGTGAGGGACCACCGGGTCTGAATCGAGTGTGTGTAGAAGTAGAAGGAGAACATATTTGATGCAAGTTGGGTGGCTGAGAAGGAATCCCCACAGCACACGTCGTTGTTAATGTGGTGTTAATTGTGGACAAGTACCTTTGCATTGCATGAGTTGGGCTTTTCATCACATGGACGTGTGGAAGCATGGAGGAGTGATCCCAGATCTTGGTGTCTAGTTTCGTCGGGAAAGGTCCCTGTTCGTGCCTCGCTTTTAACTCTCTCGTATTATTCTTTTTCTCCTCCACCTCGGATCGGAGGATACAGTGACTACTGTTCCCCCCACTAACAAAGTTAACATTAAGCTGCGTTCTCAAGCAACGCTTTTGTCTCTCGCACTTTTCCATCTCCTCTCATCATTCCCCTCCCACCCTTCATTTCTTTCTAGTCTCGGCTACATTGCGAATATATTGTCTTTTCTTGGACGACCTTTTCAGGATTCCCAGACACTCTTAAGCGCTAGATGGCCATCCTCATCTTTAAAGTCAATGTATTTGTTTTCCAATTAAACAAACCTCGTATACATAGCAATTAATGGCTGTGTGTGTGTGTGTGTGTGTTACCCAGTTATCTAGACTTCATCAATTCTAATGGGTCCTCACCTTTCATTATTCTGACAAAAGTCACAATTTCTGATGAATGCTCTTGCTTTTGCAAAGGGATTGCTCCTTCAATTTATATTTTGTATCCCTGTCCGGGATTGGAGTGATAAGAAATGTGAAACAATATTGATGAAGAAGCCAGCCGCGACATGTGTTTCATGGCCCGTCAGGTTCACACCCCATTGTTTTGGGGATACATATTCATTTCGCCCGTGATACACTCCTTGCATTATTAAACTTCGATCCATCCAGAACGACCGCATGAATCATGATTACATTGAACCTTTCCTCCCACTATTGACTTCACAATCCACAGTTATCTTATCCCACTCTCGCAGTCTGATTTTCCCTTTTTAACGAAACCGAAAAGTAGACTACTGGTAATTCCTGGTACAAAATTTTGAACTTGAACTATCCATCTAGATATATCGAGGAAGTGACTAACTTTTAAAGCATGTTCATAAATTGGAATCCCAGAGATGAGCACTCATCCCCATCGTGTGTGGCAGGGCAGCCCCATAGTTGAAGTACTTTCTCATGCAGGAGTCAGAGAGAGTACCTGCAAAATGACGAATGCCAGCGAAAGGTTTCTTCTCTTTTCTCAGACAGGGAAGAGAAAAGAGGTTGAACAGTCAAAGAATGGCATCAAGAAGTAGGGCCATCCAGCAATGGGATTGCCCCCAAGGTGGGGGTACCTAATATTGGTTGGTTAAAGAAAGATGATCTAATCGTGTCATGATTTTAATTATTGAACATGATGGTCAAATGGCCTGCCTTCTGCCACTACAGCTTCTTGTGCAACTCTCACAGGAGTCTGTTTTCAAAACTAGACGGTTTAACACACCCGAGATGGGCCCGCCAGCCAGTTGCAATGAATGGATCGGCATGATAATTAATTAATGAGGTGATTTCTTCTTCAAGCAACCAACGATTCTATGCTTAAAAGTTATTTTCATTGTTAATAGTTTACTAGTTTCCCAATTTCTAGTTTTGAATAATTGAAGAGTCGCTCGCTTCATCAAAACCATCCTGCTTTGTGTTCACTTTGGTTTTCGCCCAGTTACCCTAAATATGAGGTTTATATATTGATTCCGTTCCTCATCTTTTTCAGTAAATAAAAAAAAAAAGTACATAAAATTTTCTGATGCGTGCTGTGTTAATTTTGTGGCACTAATTTTCCCTGATATTTCGGTGATTTGAACCGATTCGGAGTAAAATTAATGGAACGTGATAATTTTCAGTTAATTAATTTTACTCTTTGTTGGCATAATATTCCCACAATTATCTAGAGCAGTGACAGAATTATCATTTTCTAAAGAAAAAGGTGGCCTTTAATTATTCAAAGTAACAAAAAGACAGATAAAGAAAAGAGTATAAAATAGTAGCCTTTCCAGCAAATACCCAGTTGTGAATTCGCTTCATGCACAGCCATTTCAGGGCTTCTTCTCTCATCCCCCCATGTGCTTAAAGTAGCCTTTCCTTCGCTTTCTTTTCACTGCCCATTACGCTGTATTCCCTAGGGGAAAAAAAAAATTCCATTCACTCACTTTAGTTATTATTGAGCTTAGTCTCTTCACACAAACAGAATTGACAGGTAGAGCAAATCTACCTTTCGCCTTCTCTTTCTACTCTCTCCTTCGTATTCACGCTGAAGATATAGATACCAGCTAAAGAATGATCTGGTCGCTTGAGTTCAACTCGAATCGGCAGAGGTAGGAGTGCCTTCTGTTTATATATTCTATTTCATTTCTACAGCAGAAAAGATCATAATTCATACATTCAGAACCAGGTTGCCGCTCGTCGAAACCACAGAGAGAAATTAGATTAGAGTTCACACTCCAGTTTCCTGAGCGTGTTATCATGAGGGAATTTCCTTCTTGTTTTGGCGAGAATGGTGTTCAGGTTGCTGATTCATCCTCGTCAAGCACCGCCTCAAGAGCAGCCCAAAATGTAGTGACTTGTGTCTATCAGTGTAAATTTCGCGGCCGTTCTTGCTTAATCACGGTTTCATGGACCAAAAACCTGATGGGTCAAGGCTTGAGTGTTGGAATAGACGATCTAGGCAACCAATGCCTGTGTAAGGTTGATATAAAGCCATGGTTGTTCTCTAAAAGGAAAGGGTCGAAGAATCTGGAGGTCGATTCCAGCAAAATCGACATATTTTGGGACCTGAGCTGCGCAAAATTCGGTTCAGGGCCAGAGCCATTGGAGGGATTTTACCTGGCCGTCGTGTTCAACCACGAGACGGTGTTACTCCTCGGGGATCTGAAGAAGGAAGCAAACAGGAAGATTGAGAGTGACTACGCTCGCTCCGACGCTGTTTTCATAGCGAAGAGAGAACACATTTTTGGGAAGAAGTTTTACGGAGCAAAGGCTCAATTTTGTGATAAAGGGCAAGTGCACGATGTGACGATAGAGTGCGACACAGTGGGGCTCAAGGATCCTCGTCTGGTCATACGAATCGATAGTAAGATGGTGATGCAGGTGGAGAGACTGAAGTGGAAGTTCAGAGGAAACCATACCATATTGGTGGATGGTGTTCCTGTGGAAGTGTTCTGGGATGTACATAACTGGCTGTTTGGGAATGCCATGGGCAATGCAGTTTTTATGTTCCAGAGCTGCATTCCCGCTGAGAAGCTATGGCCAGCCCACTCTGTCTCGGATCCTTCTGTCCTGAAATGGGCTTACTCTCAACAGTTTAGGGATTCCCAGTTGCAAGGTCTTGGATTCTCTCTCATTTTGTATGCTTGGAAGAATGATTAGTGAATATATACACACACACACACACATAGAGAGGGAGACTTGTTTTTATATTTTCATGCTCAAGTGTTGAAACTGATTTTACCGGGCCCAGGTTTCAATTATGATGTGATCCCATTACGTGATGATGCTTCTACAGCGTAATCGTCCCTTCTCTTCTTTTTCTTCGCATTCCTCTCTTCAATCGCATGCCTTTCCTGCCCTTCATATATTCCTAGGATAATTTAGTAATATAGACTAGTATTTTTCATGTTTGAATTGCATAGTCTGCTTAAGCATGAGCTTTATACTGATTAATTCCATTTTACATGTGTACATGATGTTGGTGATGAACTCGGGCAAGAGAAACCAATCCGTAAATTCTCTGTTCTTCGATCTGCTGTTGCGGCTCTCAAGTGCTCACTGACTAGTCTAGAGTGATTGAAATTTAAGTCTTTGTCCACACTGCCCAATATGTGGCAAACGGATTTCTTTTCATTCAAGTGAAAGCACTGAAAAAATTTTAGTATGAGTCAACAAAGAGCAATTATATATCTAAAAGAAAAGTGAGATCATTATCAATGGACGTTCAATAGAGTTGGTAAGAATTACTGCTAGCATTCCTTAGGTAAAGGTTCGAACCTTAAGGAATAACGAATGTAATAATTAAAATGATTTCAAAAGAGTCATCCCATCAATATCCGTAATCACCATAAGGTTTCCAACACAAGGGGTCCGAATTTAGTCTAAGTCAAACAATGAACCCAAAATACTTTAAGATATCGGGTGGTCTAGTACTTCAAAAGAAAAGTGAGATCATTCACAATAGCCCTTGCCTCCTGATAAGTAATACTAACTTCCTTAAGAAAGGGATGGCACAGCAGACTAATTTTTCCCTTTGGTGTGAGAATGAGACCAAAGGCGTTTGCCGCAAGAGTAAAGAACAAAAGTGATAGAAGCGATACAGTTTTGTCGTCCACTAACATTGGCGTGGGACTGAGCGTGAGTAGCCCGGGCAAGAAGCAATCATAAGCTTTTTTATCAACATTGTTGGAAGAGAGAGGTTCCCAGGGCTCCCTACATTACGTAACTGCACGGGTTCTTCCTAGCTTAATCCAGAAATTAGAAAAGGTGATAAACACACACTCACACAGTGAAACTAGCGTGCATGCACAGAGAAGATCAATACTGTTGGATTTTAGATTTGATTTTGTTGAATTTTGACAAGATTCTTTATTAGATAAAATTCCAAACCTATACTACGACCACTTCCATGTGAAAAATTGACTATACACGCCCCAACTTCTCTCCTTCGGATCCAAATCTTAATCCACAAATCAAGGAGCGATCCTCAGTGGTAATTTAACTAAGCAAGGGCTGGAAGTAACGCTGAAGCTGTACATGTCCACCCGAAGCACGTTAAGACAAGGGAAAGTATATAGAAAGGAGTTATTAGTTAAGATATGTGCATAAATGCCTGAGCACCTGTTATGTTGCTTTTGAATATGAAAATACAGGCAGAGGCAGAGACAACAAGACGGGGAAAAAATTAAGCGCAATGATGAATCATCCAAATCACTGCTTCTTCTTACGACCAAACGTATCTTCAGCACCACTTGTAACTCTTTCTCTCCGCTCAGCAATCATTTCTGAATATGCCTGACAACGAATAAATATAGCTTCGTTAAGATAAACTCTTTTGCTTATTTTTCTATTTTCTGCTGCGTCTTAACTTTTAATTGAATGAAGGTGCTGTAGAACCTACTTCCAGATAAATCACTGATCCTACGCACATCATGGATAGTCTACAGTAATATTCTTGGTACTATTGTCCTTCATTTTGTGATTCGGAGAAACACAAGAAATAGATGATTGTACAGTTAAGTATAAGTTTCCTAAAATGCTTCACTGGCAATACTACATGTTGGACGCCTGTGGGAAGACATACGTATAAAAACAAGCACTTTAAATGTTATTACAGACATCTTGCACAGGTTCCATCAACATGTCCACATCAATGTATTAAGACTTCAGAAATAATCGGGGAATATAAATCCAATGTCATCTCAAAAACCTCTTGCATATAATGTAAATAAGCCAGAGAATGAAGGAGAGATCAGATCAGTTACGGAACTAACTTTGAACATAAAGTACTGACTTGTGATCATGTCAAAGACTACATTTTTTTTGGTGGGGGGGGGGTGGTTGTAGGAAAAACCAAATCCTTTTTTCATGCAGGACATGGAGCTTTAATTAATACGTTGGGATGATTCCAGGTGCAGGTAAGTTCAGAAAGAAAGAACAAGGAAGTAACACAGATAGTGAGTTAAAACCTTACCTTGGGATAAGAATACAGAAACATGTACCACCAAGCGGAAATTAGTAACAAGATGACCGAAGTGACAGCCACAGAGCGCAAAATTAACCAGCTAGTGGCAATCATTAAGATTCCTGTAAGGGTTATTGTCCAGGGCTGACACCTAAAAAACCAAGGATGACAAATCCAAGTCAAAATAAGAAGGCTGGCTTAAACAACAGCTTTCAGCAATGGTGGAAATGGAATGGCTATTAACTAGTGGAACAGAGAACAGGCGGTTCATCTCATGCGCTGAATGCTATCCCTAAAGCACCAACCAAAAGTCACCAGCTCCAATGATAAAAGAACAGAGGCAAAATATCTAGGGCAATGAAAATAAAATAGGAACATGAGGGAAGGCTCACCAAGAAGGTTTAGTATCCCAGACAGAGTCGTACTCGAGGGAGAGTTGGTCGAGGTAGCCTTCCATATCCTCGACGGCACCATTTTCGTCGAAGAAAAGAGACTCCTTGGGGTCATTGGAATTAAGACGGAAGGCCAAAGTTTTGTTGGGGATTTTTGGGGAACTGAGAGTGGAAGACGAATGGGGGGAGAGAGAGGGATAGGAGACGCGAGGTTGAGTCGGGGAATGAAGATGTTGAGGGAAGCCCAGGAGAGGAAGCTGCAATGGGGCGAGTGTCCTCATTTTCCGCTAAATATGACTCTCAATCTCCGAATGTGTACATTACAAGTTTTTCACCTTCAATTCACACAAGATATTAAGCCGTGCCGAGGCCCGAGGGTACGCCATGTCTGTATAACTGAATTTGATAAGCAAGAGATAATCCATCGTACAACTTCATGACCTTTCGCGGATTCTTTCCTCGTGCCAGGAAGGGCTCTCTCCCCCTCCCCCCTTTCTCACACTCATGCGGGCTAAAACTTAAAGAAAAATCGAAAATAAAATTCCCTCATTTTATAAATAATAATTTAATTATTTAAAATATCATAATTTTATTAAAATTTTTAAAAAATCTTGTATTAATAAATTTTAAAGTAAAAATATAATTTTTTAATAAAAATAATAAATCTCAATCATAATTTTTATTTTGTAAATCTTAAAAGTTAAATAAAAACTATAATTTTTTAAATATAATTATTATTATTAAAAAATAAATTTTTAAAATAAAAAATATTAATTGTAAATTTTATTTAAAAAATAATAATTTTTATTTAAAGAATGACAACAAAGATAAAGTAATTTTTTTAATTTAAAATTTATTAATATAGAAATTCTTAAAGACTTTAATGAAATTATAATATTTAAAAATATTAAATTATTATTTAAATAATTTGAAGAGATTTTATTTTTATTTTCCTAACTAAAAACACAAAGAAGTTGGTTATTAATATAAAAAAGAACTATTATTGCAAAGCACTTTCAAAAATTGAGAAATGATGTTTAATTCATTAAATACTCCCTCCAATCATATTTATAAGACACTTTTTAAAAGTAATTTTTTATTTAAAATATAGGACATCTTGCAATAATTAAATAATTTTTTTAATTTTATCCCTTTTTAATTAGTATGAGGTTATTTAATGTAGTTATATTATTATTTAAAATCAAAGGTAAAAATAAAAGTATATCTCAGTTTTTTATGATATATAAAAAATTAAATTTTTTAAATTGCGTAAAAAGAATGAAAGTGTTTTATAATAAAAAATGAAGAGAGTATATTTTAAAATTATCCTTATTAAAAATATGAAGAGAGATATACAGTATACACTAGGCTATAAAATTAAATTTATAATATGAGTAAAATTAAAAAATAATAATAAATAACTTTTAATGTGCATTTTATTAAGAATCAAATAATCTCTCTAAAAAGTTCCCCATAACAAAGAAAAAATGGAGTGTATATTAGGGACTCGATCAAGCTGATTTATCCGGATTGGGTGAACTTTTGGTCTCACAATTGATCGAAGAGTCTCAGACCACTAACTTGTGTGCGTAGCTCTTTATGATTGTTTTTGTCCTCTAATGAAAGGAATATTTGGATTGGATGAGTAGTTTTAATATATTTACTTAATAAGTATCTTAATTACAGCTATTAAATTTTATCAATGATTAAAAATTATCAGGATATCTTTTAAAAATTTAAAACAATTCTCATGATCTAAAACTTTAAAATTTAATACTTATTAAATATTATATGATAAAATTTCTGACAATCTTTCATTTTTTATTTTGTCTTGTGAGACACATTAAGTGGATTTAGTTCACTCATCAAATTCAAATAAAAAAATTGAGTATCTTAAATTTATTTATTATAAAAGTATAATATTCTTTAATGTCTAAATATAAATTAAAATCAATTATAAATATTTAGTCCGTATTATCCTGTCAAAATTTTACAAAAACCAGTATAAAATATAAAATACAGTATATCAAATTCAAAAGCTGTTGATAAGCCGCATTAATATCACAATTCATGAATTTAAATCTTTTAAAGTCAGGATTAGAGAATATAGGTGAAGTTTTTTTTTAAAAAAATATTCTCTCTCATTGTATTCTCTGTTATAAAATATAAAATATCTCCTCTCTTTTTTAAAATGAAAAATTCATAAAAATTCACCAATTTCAATTTCAAAAGATTTTAAATCTATAATTCACATTCAATTTCATACAAAGCACATGCCTCATTATTTAATGTAAACTGTAAATTAAAAAGCTACACATGTTTACATGTTACTGATGTCATATGTTCAAAATGAAGCAAGCAAAACTCAATACTCTAATATTATGTTTGGATACATATTGATTTGAATTTAGACCAAATCCAAATCCTAAACCTATGGATCTGAATAGCGAATTTAACTCAAATTTAAATTGATATTTAAATATAATTTTTTTGTAATTACAAATCTTTTCTACACATTAGAAATTTTAAATTTCAATTCCCTTTAAATCACCCTTATTGCCACCCGATGCCAATTTGCTGTTGTCACTGTCATTTGGTGTCGATCCATTGCCTTCATCTGGTGCCAGTTCATTACCAGTCTGCTACCTTTAACTAAAGTTGGTCTACCACTATTGCCCTTTGGGATTGATTTGTGATCATCATTTGCATCCACATTTATTGTCTAGCACTAAATGACATTATAAACTAGGAATTGTTTTGGTGCCAAATGCCGTTGCCACCTCCCATGACCAGACTACCTTTATTGACAAAGATTGAACTATTAATGTCGAACGCGACCGGACCTTCACTAACAGGATCAAATTGTCGACGCCAATTGAGACTAGATTGTCAATGTCAATAGGGACAACAATGTCATTGCTTATTAAGATCGATCCATCGATGAATACGAGATTGAATTGCCAATATTGATTGGGACCAAATCATTAATTTTGATTGTAATTGAACCATCAATGTCAACTGAGATTAAATTTGACTATTGATATCATTTAAGTTTGGACAACCAGTGTCAATCGAGACTAGACTACCACCCTTATTTAGGACCAAACCATCAACTTTAACTAGAACTGGATCGTCAATATCATTTGAATATTGAGTTGCTTTTAAATTTAAATATTAAGTTGCCTTTAAAATTACAATTAAAAATTCATCTCATTCAAACAAAATTTAAAACTTACAAACTTCTAATATAATATTTCAAATATGAAATTTTAAATTTTTAATCTAAATCCACCTATCCAAACATTACCTAAAGCAACTTCAAAATCAGTAAATTCTTTTTAACGAAAACTACATAGTAACTTAAAAACTAAATATAAATCCCACGCTTGACATGATATTTAATTAAATCTTAAGTCGCACTTGCACCATTTAAAACTTACAGTTTGTGTATATTTTATGCTTTATATAAAAGTATAAAATTTGATAGCCTTACCTTGAGTTGAAAATCCATGAATTTCTATGCATTTTAAAAAATATTTTATATTTTATAAAAATAATAATATGAGTAAAAATACTAAAAAGGCTTCTTTTTTAAATAATGTAAATTCATGTTCAGAGAGTTTAAATCCTTTACTTTATACAGTTCCCCCGGCCCGGTCTTAAATTCTAGATCTTATCGGGCTGTTTGGCCCAGAATGTATTTCGCCATGGCTCTCTTAAACATCTAAAATCTCAAAAGCATGAAATTAACCCAGATTAGACTTCAAGTACTAGCATAATTTTACGTATCGCCTTCACGCCCACAATCTTCCATAACTTAAACCAACCTTCATGCTCAGAGATCGTAGGCAGCATGTCGTCATTGTTCAATCCCATCATTTTCTATTGGCATGGAAGATATCTCCGGTTAAGAATATATAGCATGATAATTGTTTCCACTGATTCTGCTAGTGCACTTCCCAGTTCGGTGGAAGTACACAGATATACAAATTGACGATCTCCACGGTTATATAAACTAATCCAGAGGAAAAATGATTTTATTACCTATTTTAGAAGCGGTGGAAGAGGATGGCAGCCCCAAAAGTACCAAAACATTTGCATTCATGCAAATATGGAAAAATAGACCAACTAAAAGGCCACAAGGGGGTCTGACCGTTGCTCTGATGATCCATGAAAAATAGACCAGCTATAGTAACGTAAATCAACCTCCAAGCTTCCTGCAGATTCAAAAGCCCGCAGTTGTTAACTTCAATGAAGACAAAGCATAAGTTGAAGAAAAATCCACTGTCCACAAGTCAATATCCTGGTTCTCCACAGCTCACCTAGTTCTTAAAACATAAAGCACAGACATTTAGAATTGCAGCAAGTGGAGGGGAAAAGCATACTAACCAAATATTGAATGAGTTGTAAAGGAAACACAGACTGCAAGCAATACAACCGACTTTAAAGCATTATGTTGTACCATTTATTCTCGATAATTGATAACGCAGGTGAAACAAAGTATTATCACTAGTTTCCCTGGGGAAAAAAAGGCTTCCGAACACTTTATCTATGGGAATAAGCATGGACATGGAAAGACTAGATGCAACTTGTCACATGGCAGCCAAGGCATTCCAAAACATCCTATCTGTTCCTTGATAAGCCTTCAAGTCAACCTACGAAACAAAGCTAACCTATCCTTGTGAATGCTTTCAATAAATAGAAAGGGGGCCTACTACCGAATAGAAGGAAAAAACTTACAGAATTCGTTTTCCACACACACGCGCGCGCGCGCGCGAAGAGGGTGGGGGGAGGGAGAGAGAGAGAGTACCGAAATTATAAAATAGTTGCCTTGTCCAGTAATTTCCATACACTGAGCATCCCCTACAAAGTAAAATAGTCTATCTCATCCGAACTTTCACCATAAATCACATAGCTGGCATCTTGACCGTCCTCATTGCCACTACCATGATCGGTATTGTAGCTGCTCTCAGATGTACTCATAAAATTCGATCCATCTGAAGTATGGCTACTCAATTGTGATGGTAGACTTATGTCACTATTTAATTCAGCATCAAAAGGCTCGACATAACTGCAACACAATACAGAAGTTCAAAAAATGGTGGCTATTAAAAAAGGAAATGGAAAATACTTCCATTTCCACTATTGCTCCCAGGATGCTTGGTTGAGCAAAGACAAAGTAATTACTGTAATAATCAAACCTTCCTTCTGACGGATATTCAGCAAGCAAACACATATTAGACCTTGCTTCCAAAACCTGCTTTATTGGCATGATGCTGCAGTAGCAGAATAGAGCCCAAAACATAAGCCATCCGTAAGGTTAAAATATCACGTCCACCAAGAAATCATTACCTAGAGTTGTAGCACCTATGATACCAGTCACCCTCAGATGCTAAGCCTTCCCTATTGGATATATCCTGTATAAAAGCAATAGTACTTAGAACTAATAGCAAAATTGATGGTCTGCCAAATCTTTTGCTGTTATCGTTTAATAAATGCATAACATATATTTCTTATGTACCCACAAGATGTACAAGGGACTTGAAATCGCCAGCAAGAATTGCTGTCAACAACCTAGCAACTTCTAGCTGCACAAACCATTGGTGTTTCCGAATGAGTTGTATGGAAAGAATCTAACAATTAAATACATGTCATTACAATCCTCACCTCTTTCAGATGCATGCAATCCCTTAAAATTAAGACTTCGAGCAAAGTCCCATTAGTACTGCTTCCAAGGTTTCTGGGGGAAATAAATGATCTCTGAATCAAGAGATGAGCTTAACATGCAAAAAAGATATCAAGATTTAAAGTCTTGTTAGGAATAAATGACCTCAAGAAGTTTCCAGTGATAAAATAAGATGTTGAAAAATCAACATATTTCAGTTTCCTAAGTCCCTGCATAAAAATACACAAATATTAACAAGATAAAGCCACAGCTATTATGCCATTACAGACTTTTGTATGAAGACATAAAGATGCTATAGTGGAACATGTAAGGGTTTCTCTTCCATTCTTTTGGTATAAAGTGAAATAGGAGAATTCCGTCTTGGGTCAAATTAATAGTCCAAAACAAAAAGAAAGGTTTCAATTTTCAAATTGACAACATTGCCAAGTTATTATCTAGTCAATGCAATTTGCATGCAAGCTATCAAAAAATGAAATGCAACCAATAGTTCCAAACTCAAATTTTTGCATTATAACAAATCATGATGAGGATAAGTTGATGACATTGGAGCTTAGCAAGACACAAGTATATACAGCTTGACTAGTAAAGTTTTCCCATCCCAACTCTACACGCTATGGACATGAAAGGTTTGTAGACAAATAACAAGGAAAACTGGAGGAATTAAACTCAATATATTGTGAAACACTGAAAGTATATATTTCTAACAAATAAATTTGATCAAAAGAAAAATCACCCAGGATCTGCTGGAGACTAGCAAAATTAAATCAAAGTCTCCAACGCAGAGGCAGTAAATTGAAGATGATAGTTTTTAGGCCTAAAAAAATGATGATAGTTCCTGTGCTTATATCACAGGTTACCAATATTTACAGAAGCCTTTACGCATACCTTAACCAATATGCGAACTTTACAGTCATGTAGCTTAAACCCTCTCAGTGACAAAGAAGTTAGATGAGGACACTTGCTTACAAGGTCCATGCAGGTTGGTGTTTTCAAACTGTCATCCCTACCTGCTAATCGAAAATAGATAAGCTGATATACAGATAACCTTAAAAGGAACACTGTAGACGGAAACAAATCATACCTGTTTTTGAAGACTCAAAAAACAAACGCTCAATCAAGTGGCAATTTGCACTAATTGACACTAATGTTTGCCTCAGTTCAACATGACTGACAGTTATGGGGGAAAAAAAAGAGTCAATGAATAGTATGATTTGGAAAATATCTATCAGATAACATAAATTAAAGGGATATATGCGAGGAAGACAGATGCTGATGCATATTAAATGCTTGAAAAGTTGAAAGAATAACTGCAAACAAGACATCTTAATCTTGTGCGGGCGCAGAGTCAACTTTTAAAAGAAGAAAGCAGCAAGTCTGTGACAATCCCCCATTGCAATATGACAAATGGAATTCTAGAGTTTATTCAAGATTTTTTCCCCAAAAATGGCAAACCTTTCCTAAACTAAGTCATGCATTTACCTTATGTTTGCAACAATCAATAAAAAATATTTGTATGTCCAAGAGCAGTGATAAAATGCTTTTAATGATAAGAAGAGAACACAAGAGGTGTCAAAAACATACAGCCCAACAATTTCCAGATCAAGGAGAGATGGGCAGGCTGATAATGCCCCAGCAAGGGATGCGTTGTCCATTCTCTCAATATTATACACGTGCAACTTTCTCAAAAAAGCCCTACAAAATGAAATTGAATATTTATATAAAAACAAACCATCCATCTTTAATGATCAAACACCCAAGAACAACATACCCTGGGGCACCATTATTCCCATTTAAAGGGGTCAAACAGGATCTTGTAAGAATGGATGACTCTCTCCCCTGTCGGGATCTCTTATCATTCCATGAGAAGTTAGATACGTCTGCAATAGTATTTCTGATGGTGTAAGCCAATGGCTGAGATCCAGGCAAAGCAGTAGCACCAGGGACCACACCAAGCTTAAGAGACCTTAATGACCAATTAAAAAAGATGCACAGTGAAAGATAATTAGGGGGAACAGAAAAAAAGAGTCACACTGTGATGCATATTCAAAACTTTAGCAAGGAAAAATTGATGTTAAATGCTTCCCCTCCCCCTAAATGAAAGCGTTTTAGTGTTTTTTTGTTGGCCAAGATGATAAATGAAAATTATACCATAATATACACAGAAGTAGAACCATAAAATCAATTGCATGTGAAACATCAAAAGAGATCAGCCATTCAAAAACTGTGGACACCAATGTCGATAAGGCAGACCTTCAAAACAAATAACCCATATCCATCCAAACATTAGTTTTCTTGCCTATAAAAATCGAATGCAGAGTCCATGAGATACATATGATCAGCTCACAAGGTGACTAGTTAAATATAAGTATGCATTATGTCCCGTTATCATCAACTGTTCTTTCAATTACACTTTGCATTTTACCTGGGAACAACAGAAATTATAGCACATAAAAGGATAACCAAGGCACAAAGTTCTTACCGTAGGGCCTTTCCAGCTCGCTGAATCATTGAGGAAACTACTGCATTGTTAATCTTCGGAACAATTGTTGTCAAATCGAGATTTGAATAGCACAAAGGGTCCTTAGCGCATTTGTGAAAGAATGAACAGGTTGCCGCAGCAAAGCATAGACTCTGGGTATCAAGCATTGAAAATACCTGAAAATTATGACAACATATCAATAATAGAAAGCTCGCTTTCTTACAAAACCATGTATATCTCTTAATGAAGTTTCCAAAGGTAAATAGATTCTCCTCATGAAGACTATCATGCACCGAAGTCACAAAACCATGATTTACCGGACGCAAGTGGCTGAAGCACGGCATAGTTGCATTGCAAAAATCATTAAGCCACAGACGGGACTCGAAGTTTTTATTGTTGTAATCAGGTCAATGGAGAAATACAACACTACCGTTGCATCCATATCACCGTGAAAAAACGACATCAAGACGCAACCAGGAAATGTTGTATGACTCACAGTCGAAGGGGAATGAGGGGATTGACGAGATGAATAAGACGTAAGCACAAAATAAGAGCAAACGAACTGCCAATTTGCAAAATAAATGAATGAATAAAAATCGGAGAAAAAGACGAGCATCAAACAGAACAATAATAAAAATAAGAATGTGGAAAGATTTAAGTGCTATAAATAGGGCGAGACCTTGATGGTAAGGTCAGGAGGAAGAGGCCAGGCAAGGGAATTGTGGGAGGAAGCACGCTTTCTGGAGGAGTGGTTGGCAGCGTCGAGAAGGACGGAGCCCATTTTAAGGGCGCGATCGATGAGAAGTGTCTGATCGGCATCAGCGGGCAATGAGTGAAGAAGCCTATCCAGGGAGAGATGGAGGGAGAAAGAGGGGAATTCAGCGAGGGTGAGGAATGCTTCAAGGAGATGGTCCACTTGATGAAGGTTTTGGAATCTAGGGTTTTGGGAGGGACAAGGTCGCTTGGCCATTGATGATGAAGCGTGGAGCAGGGCGTCCATAGCTCGAGCGGGTGGCGGAGACTGAAGAGCAACACAAACATTTACACAGGGCATCGCCTAACCCGACAAAATAATAATATTAGTGACAGCAATAATAATATTGCATCGGGCTCCCAGCCAGATTCAGCCAACCAACAATGCCTTTAAGTTTGAGGCCCAATTGAAGTGTTTGTCTGCCTTCGCCACGTGGATCACGAATCTGCTTGACGTCACCTCTTTTCCTGCCCTCTTCGGTGAAATTAGCAAAGCCGCGTCCCTCTTCTTTTTTCCTCTGCATCTTGCGTTAATTATTCTAATTGATATTGAAAGGAACAAATTCGAGAGAAATAATGGGCTTGTTTGGCAACTGGAGATAGTTTCTATTATCTAGAATTAAAAAAATAAAAATATTATTTATTAATATATTTTTAAAAATTATTTTGAAGAATAAAAGAACTAAATATTTGTATTGAAAAATAGAAAAATAAAAATATTTTTTTAAGTGTTTTGAGATTGTTAATTAAAAAAACAAGGAAAATTGCAAAAAATTGCCTTTTCTTTTTGTTCTCATAACAGGTTTTATAAAATATTAATTCTCAAAATAATTAAAAAAATCAAACAAGCCTAATGGCTCTACAAAATTATATTAACTGATTACTTTAATGAAAAGTAACAAATCTAGTTTTCATTCTTTCATTTGATCAAAATGTTGTTGAATTTTGAAGTTAAAGACTTTATTTAGTTTTTACAAATACAGGGAACACGGGGCTTGGATGAAAGGATTCCACTAGAGAGGCTGGGACTGGAAAGTTAATTTTAGACTAACCAATTTAGAAGGAGAGACATTGCACATGTTTGATGCAACTCGCGACAACAAAACAGTGAGCAGATGAAAATCCAACAGCTAGATGTAAAAATAAGGGGATGAAAACAATGCCAATGAAAATCACAATGATAATAATTGATCGCACGAAGTGATTAAAGTATTAAACATGATGAGGTCAAAATAATAAAGTATTTTGGCTTTGTCTTTTATTCATTCTTACTTTAATGCCGCGCAACATGAAAAAAGTATTATTGGTTTCCATCAAAGAAAAAGTAAGGGGCAACAAAATGCATATCAGGATGCTTCTGCATATAAAATAATGCAAGGGAATGAATACAGGGGCATACAGATGGAGACATATGAGTAGATGTTCCATTACTAGCTCGTACTAGGCTTGTCTGCCATGGTCAAGCTTACTTTTAGGCTTAGCCTAAAAAGCCCTTACCTTTTACTTTCGAGCCTCTTTTCTAATCAATAAATATATAGAGCAAGTCCAAACTAATATAATTTGAGTCATGGTAAATTTTTTTTATCACATTTGTTCTTTCCCCATTTCTCTTTGAGCATTTTCCTATAAGTACGCTTGAATACCTACCATCTAGGAGAGAAAGTTAGAAAATAAAAATAAAACAAAATGCATTCTCCTTTAATTTTTTTGTATTAATTTAGTATGCTGTGTCATGATTTAGCTTTCTCATGAAATTGCAAAGAGATATATAATGTGTATCATATGTATGTCTCGAGTTTTTGAGGCAAGAAAAGAAGGTAGAAAGAACAAATATCAGAGAGAAAAGAGGGAAGAAATGTCATTCATCCATATTTGCCTCTACCGCTTGCCAAAATATTAAAGAGAAAAGTGCATTCAAAATAGAATTCTACGATCTTATTAAAAACAAGCAAAGCTGACTCTCTGACTACATCACATAAACTTGACATGTGTTAATGATAGATACAACTAACACTAACAATCAGAAATTGATTAGAAACTAATCAAAATAGATAACAATATTTAGCTAATAAACTAATATTCCCTTTACTGGAAAGAAAAAAAATAGTAAACAACTACTAAAGAAGAACTTGTATCATCGACATAGTCCTAGGTTCAATGAATGGATTGAGGAGTGATTTTGTATTATATTGATAAATGAGTGTATATGACGTGTTACATTCATAGTCTTAGATCCAATGAACATTATTCGAGTGTTAGAAAAGGTTTTTAGCACTTGTTTTCAGTTTTGGACACTCTTTGTTTATAAAAAGTTGTGAAAAGTGGTGAAATTATGTTTGAGTATCCAACTTCCTAGTGTGACTTATTTTAAAAGTGAAACTTATGCCATTAGTTAGTTTATGGAAAAAGCTTTTTGTAGACACCTATATCATGTCATTCGCACGTCAAACAGAGAATAGAGACACGTAGAAGTTCTCTAATTTTATTGTCAAATGACAACACAATCAGCTATCAAGAGAACGTGCAACACGCCATGATGCATTGGCACTTGAATCATGGTGCGTGGCACAGAGAGCAACATGCTGTGGCACAGTGTAAATAAGCCACGACGTATTGCCTTGTTATGCAACAATTAAGTTGTTTTTCAACTATTTTCAATTTTTTTAATTTTTTTTTTGAGGTATCTCATGCTTCCATAATTTATTTTTACTCTGAATGATCAGTCAATGAATGATTTGAACATATTTTAACTTAAGAAAATTTGGGATCCCTTATTTTGAAACTAAAACTTGGTAATCTTCTAAATGAATTAATTCTTTGATTACCACGAGTTTAATTGGTTAATTGTGATAAGTAGAGGAGATATTACAACTTGACTCAATGATACAAGACTTAGTCTCAACTTCATTAAGTAGTAGAGGTTAGAGGTTCAAGTTTTAGAAGGTCCCCTTGTGAGGGATAACCTAAGTTCCACCTTGTGAAAAAGCTAAGTTTTGCTACCGTGAGGTGGTTTGGCCTAGCATTGTTGAAGTAAGGGTCTGAGTTATTGTTACATAAAAGGCTCCTTTTATGTAATAGTACCCCGAACACTTAGTCTGGCGATGTTGGGCCACCCCACCCCACAGCAGTGAAAGCTAGCTTTTTCCTAAGGTGATACTTAGGTTATCCCTTACAAGGGGACCTTCTGAGACTTAAACCTCCAATATCTATCACCTTAATCAAGTTGAGGTCAAGTCTTGTATCATTGAGTCACTTGACATACTTTTGGTTTTTCCAACACATAGTTAACACAAATATATCACTTAAACTAGTATCTTGGCTATTTACACTCATTCAATCATAAACACTTTCACTTTAGGCCAAGATACACATTCATTTCCCAAATTCTCATACAAGTGATAGCCAAAATAAGAAATGCTCCTAAGTTGGCATGATATCATAACACATTCGTCACAAAGCCCAATAAAAAAGGAAAGAGATATATAAACAAGGCCCTTCACTCTTCGGTTGTTCCTTCCTTCCCCTTGCCTCTACCAGTGCTCGCCCATAAAATATAACCATGGGTTGAGATAAAGATCTTATTAACAGAATAATTAACTACTATCAATTAACATGCATAACTATAAAGGAGTAAAGCTAATATACATAAAAATAAGTATTAAGCTTAAAGCACAAAAATCTTTTCAATTATCATGATTCATTTTTATTTTAGCATAATCATTCTACCATCCAAGCCTCCATATCACCCTGATTAAAATCATAAGCTCTTGGACCAAGTGTATATTTACAATAGCTCGAGCTTACCTTCAGTGGTAGGATAACACAGCTAAAGGTGTTCTATCTTACTTTCAAACTATGGTTTCCCCTTATCATACATGAATCGGGGTATCGTTACTCCAATACCACATCACTGATACTGTTAACCTCTAGAAGTTCATGTTATTTCATCAAATTTTTCTTAGATTCTAATCCATTTTGGTTCAATTGTATATGTTTTTATTGCCCAAATTAGGAAAATGTGCATTTTGTTTTGGACTTGTGTTCTTGGCTTTAATTTGATATTTTTAGCCTAATTTCATGTTACTTTGATTGAAGTTTTGATTAAAAGCATTTTTGGAGCTTTGTGGAGGTTTTTGGAAGGCTTTTGGATGCAAAAATCAAGAGCAAAATGAATGATTTTTGTTAGCTGTAAAAACAGTGCAGAACTACCAAAGTCGTCTCAAAGTTGTGACTTTCATTCGCGACTTTCACCACTGTCAGAAAAATGCTACGTTTTATTTATCAGAAATTAGTTGGCTAGGATACATATAAGCTAAGAGCTCGACCCAGAATGCATTCTTTAGACTTTTAGACAGTTTTGGAGCTTGCCTGCTAGGGTTTGGGCATTGGAAGAGTTGGGATCAAGAGATTGAAGCTTTGAAGATATTTGGAGCTCATTTTCTTCAGTTTTTCTATTCCTCTTCCCTTTCCTCTCTTGTAATCTGAAATGGGTCCACTTATTTTGTATATTTATAGCTTATGGATAATTATGAGTAGCTAAACCCTTTGTTCTAGGATTATTTAGAACTCTTGTATGGATTAACATTATATTTCTCCTCTATTTTTGTGATTAATGATATATATGTGTTTATTTTACTCTTTCTTTAATGTTTCTACTTGATTGGCCACCATTTAGATGTTGGGTTCACTTAATTGATACTTGAGAGGGCTAGGTTGAGTGTAGAACTTGGGTAAAATTGTGTAAGAACTTGATATTTGCATGTTGAATAGATGGTTTTGCTAGTAAGATAGAGATATACTTGCTAGCCTTACATAGCCACATTAGGGTTAGTGTTTAAAATTGAGTTTTATTAATTGTAACAAGAGATTGGGCAATTAATTTAACTAAACACTTGTTCATGACTTGAGAGAGCTTGTCTAAGTATTTTTAGAACTCTAGGTTGGCACTTATTTTCATTAAAAGCATTTATGAGAGGAGGTAATTTTGGTGTTATGAAATGCAAAGGGGACAAATAATCCTAGGTCTCAATTTGTGTTGGAAGTTTATGAATCACTCACTTTTTTTTATTTTCTAGAATTAATTTCATTTGCAAAATCATTTTCACCTAACTTTGTGTAGCTCAATTTGATCGAATTTACTTAGTCTTTTGATTGATCATTGTTTTTGAATAAATTCTCGAGGGAACGATACTTTACTTTCATTATATTACTTGCTACGATCCGTACACTTGCAGTGAGCAACAGATGCTAAGGAGCATCAACCTCCAATACTATATCTCACTTAGTTATTAAGGAGAAAATCTCCAATATCGTGCCTTAA